GAGATGGAACTATTGGAGAAGGATAATGATTTTAGTTTGTTGAAAAGGATGGAATGGATAATGGAATCGAAAGCTTTGGAGAAATCAAGCAGTATAAGTATGGTTAGTTTTTTGTCATCTAATGCAGTCTGGATATCACTAGTAATTTTAATCAGAGCAGATTGTGTAGAGTAGCCAGGACGGAAGCCAGATTGGAGAGGATCGAGTTGGTTGGATTGTTCAAGGTAGTTGGAAACTTGGGATTGCACTAACTTTTCTAGGGGTTTAGAAAGATTGGAAAGGATTGATATTGGGCGGAAATCTTCGGGAGAGGATGGATTAGGCTTTTTGTTTAAAGGAAGGACAATGGCTTTTTTCCAAGAGGTGGGGAATATTGAATTCTGCAGGGAGAAATTGTAGATGAAAAGGAGTGCTGGGAGAATTTCAGGGAGACATAATTTTATTAGTTTGATAGGAATGCCATCTGGGCCTACGGAATTGGAACGGGATTTCATTATAACGGTAATAAGGTCTGTGGGAGAAAACTATATATACTAAATTATATACTAAAATAAATAAAGATATTGAAGAGGCAAAAAGATTCTTTAGAAATAATCCCGAATTACTTATAATAACATCGGAAAAAAAACTTGTTTATTTCTAAAGATGAATACAAGCATAAAACCTATTAGACAACAGCCAAATTTATTGTAGCCTCGGAAAAGATCCCTCAAAAGAAATCTAAGAGAAAATTATAACATACATAAATAAATAATATCAAAATAAATATATCAATGATAAAGTTAAAGAAAAGTTAATAGCTAAACATAGAACAAATACCAAGGATACATGTATTATATGAGTAAATTACATAAAACTAATAAACCCTGAAGACCCATTATAAACAATATAAATGGCATTACCTAAAAATTCTTTAAATTTCTAAATTCCTCACTAAACCAATTAAACAATAATAACCCCTATGATACTAAAAATTCTATACAGGTTAGAGATGAAATCAAATCATTAAATAAAATTGATGAGGATGAAAAAATAGTAAGTTATGACGTGGAGTCTCTTTAAACAAATGTTCCACTAAAAGAAGTATATAAAATTTTAGAAAAATAATGGTCCTCACAACATAGAACCTCATACACTAACTAGAAATAAGGCACTATTCCTGGAAAGAAAAAAAGTATGTTGGGAAAATGGGTATTTTTTATTTAATGCAAAACGGTCTTTTGATATGTGGTTCACTCTCGGTCAACCTGAGCGGTATATATCTAAACCACATAATGGATCAAGTGATGAAAAAACTTAATAAAACTACGAAACTCTGCATAAAATATATAGACCATACCCTCATAATAATAAAGAAAAATTAAATAGAAATATTTTTACAGATATTAAATAACTTACCAGATAAACTAAAATTTACAATAGGAATAGAAGACAATCATAAAATCAGATTTCTGGACATTATATATATAGAAATAAAATAGGTCAACTGACCATATCCTGGTGCAAAAAATCCATAATCAGTAACAGAATTTTAAATTGGTACAGTAACCATTGCCAAAATCTAAAAATTAACTTAGCTAAAAACACAATAGGAAAAGCAAAATCGTTCATGGATAATATCCACATCAATATAATAAAAACTGAAATATATAATATACTACCGGACAATGGCACACAATAAGAATTATAAATAAAATATGGTACAAAAAACAAAATGAAACAAAGTGATAATAAAAATCATAACAAACAGTAGACAACAAACCAGATCATAAATAACGGCCAAAATAAAAATAGCAAACCGAATTTAATCACAAATTACTTCAAACATAATTCTTATAACAACAAAAATCAAACACAAAACTTACCAAATGCCAAAAATTTTGAAAATAATTTAGAAAAATATCATTCAGCAACAATATATATTAAAGAATTAACAAGTAAAATTTAAAGGACTTTCAAGGAATATGATTTATCAGAAATTAAATTAGGAAAGAAAGTAAAACCTCTCTCCTTTTAACCATCACCACGATGACAGTCAATAAATCAGTCCCTCTATAGATGACGAAGGGAGAACCCTAAAATAATAGGACGATTTCATTTTTCTTAGCTAACAAAAAAGGATATTGAATATATATACTTAGTTGGAGGACTTAATTAAGGTAATAATGAAATTAATATAAATGTGTTAAAGTTGCGTAGATGATAGGAAATTATAAAAGTATCATTATTGATGCATAGTATAAATGTATGAAGTAAGCAATAGATAAACAATTTATGTAAATGAAAATTAATATTGAATACTTAATAGTTGACCGTTTTATTATTAAGGAAGGAGATGGTCCGGGGTGATAGACATAAATAGACTAAATAGTGGCAAAACTATTTTATTAAAAGCCAACGTTTCGACTCGACTTTGCAGGTCTTCTTCAGGGCTAGAACGGACAAGATACAAAAAGATATGGAGAATTGTGGAAGTTACATCATATTTAGTAGAAAAATTATAAACAATGTGAATAAACTTATTAAAATTATAAACTGTAAGCACATTGATATATTAAGATCAATAAGTTTATAAAGAGAGTAAGCTAAGTAACAAGATCCTAAACTGAAGTAAATAGATAGTAACAATTGTTTATACCTGGGCAGAATTTATTGGAAAAATATTCCTGGAATAAATCCCTAAATAAACCTCGATAGTTATTTCCGAAATAATATATTTCATGAAATAACCTGACCATTAGTTCCGAAATGATTATTTCGGGAATAAATTATTTCAGGGATAATGATATAATTATTTCTGAAATGATTATTTCAGGAATAATGTTGTGAAATAATCATTCTGATAGACTTTTCAGATATAATCAATATCCGGGTCAACTGTTATGTTTTCGGGGGCGCTTATTATAAAAATAATGTCAAACCTTTCGGACTTAATCGATAGCTTATTATGAAAATACGGTCGAATTTGAGATTGCGCCCCACTATCCTCCCCCCAAATCGACTTTTAGTAACCTTTAGGGTCACAATCTCAAATTCGACCGAATTTTCATAATAAGCTACCCCGAAAACATAATAGGCGACCCTGATATCGATTAAATCCGAAAGGTTACTAAAAGTCGATTGGGGGGGGGGTAGTGGGGCGCAATCTCAAATTCGACCGTATTTTTATATTAAGCGCCCCCCGAAAACATAATACTCGGCCCTGATATCGATTATATCTGAAAAGTTACAAAAAGTCAATCCGCGGTGGGGAGGGGGTGGCGCAATATCAAATTCCACCGTATTTTCATAAAAAGCGCCCCCGAAAACATAATACTTGACCCTGATATCGATCAAATCCGAAAAGTTACTAAAAGTCGATGCTGGAGGCTGGTAGGTGGGGGGCCCACCACATTCACATGGAACAGAATTTTGTTAATCATAAAGTAGATAAAAATTGCATTTCTTTAACATATAGGCACATTTTAAATCTTATAAGTGACAAATAATTTATTTATTACATCTTATCTTTAAATATTTCCACTTTGAATAATCTCTCTTTTATTCTTAATTTTATATTTACATTCTACATCAATGTATGATCATCCGTTTTAACGTTGTATTCATTTTACTTTTTAACCATTATGTCTCAATATTACCTAATATTTAAATGTAATTTTCTTACATATGTACAATTAAGTATAATTAAAATTATTCATATTTGTTTCCTCTCTACACTTCTAAACTAGTTCTGCATGTATGGTCTCTTATTTTTATTCTTCTAATTTTATTTACTTATTTTTTGGTTTTCTTCTTCTTTTTGGCTTTTAATAAAATAGTTTTGCCACTATTTAGTTTATTTATGACCATCATCCCGGACCATCTCCTTTCTTAAACGAAAATTAATGTTGAAAGTGTAAAAGAAATTAAATTGTGATCTAATAATAACAAAATTTCCATACTTGAAAATGACCCTAGTTTAGGCCGAAATGCTGCCAAGAATGATAATATAAAATAAATATAATATTGGTGGAACATAGCCTTACATTATGAAAAATAAAATTATTGTGTTTGCACCAACACAAAATATCTAGCAGAATTGGCTCAGGAAATAGCCAATGCTAAAAGGACCAAAGTTATTTGGCCATAAAGGTTGCATTGACAGAAAAAACAACAACATTATTTTGTACTTTAAATAAGTGGGAGTCTGCGTGAAGCAGTGCAGTTCGGATCCGTGATAGTTTTGGATTTTATAAGTTCAAAGTAAAATAATTTGAAAAAAGTTGTGACTGGTGGTTACCATTAAGAAACACTATATTTCAATTTGGTGATAATTTGTGAAGTGGCTGAGGAAAAATAAGGTGAAAATACTTTCATGTGGATTTGCAAGGGCTGTGGCCAGGGTTTGCGATGGTAGTGGCAGAAAATTCAGTACGGGTGCATCTAACACTTCTTCGACCATGCTTTGTGGCAAACAAAAACAAAAATAAAAACTTTGATAAAAATAAAAAAGGATCCCAGGTTTTGGCACCACTTAAGTTCATGTTAAAAACAGAAATAAAAGAGAGATAGAGAGAGAGAGTGAGAGAACTAAAATAACACGCAAGACTGTAGTATAAAGACTGATTTATTCTACTCCTTGCTCCTCATATATCTACTTCTCATAGCTGATATTAAACCTAACAGTTGTTACTCTGGTTCTTAACTTGTAACAGTAATAAATTGAAGTGTGTATGTGTATATTTGTATATGTATAATATACATAATAATTTAATTTTATATGATTATCTCAATATTATGTAAACTTTTTATTTTGATCAATAATCTTAAAATTTTATTCATGCTTGAGTCACCTAGCTTGTGAAATTTCCTGAATTTACTGATTTTTCCAGGAAATTCTTTGAGTTTTCTAGGAACTCCAGGTCTGATAAACATTCACTGCTAAGTTATACGATGAGAATTTTGAAATAAAATAATTATATTTTACAGAAATTTAGTAAAACAAAATATTACATAATTACCTAAAAATGCTGTTACAAAAAAATAATGCAGTGGTATGCCCACCACTGGTGATATCAAATTCAACAGCCAGTTAGGAGTAAATGGAAGGAGTCTTAAAGACAGCAAATAAGGTATAAGTCTATGTTTGTTGAAGTCCACCTGTGAAAAAAATATTAGAAAATAACTCAATTTACAATAACATTATTGTTTTATAATCATCAATGAGTGACTTAATAAATATTTAGTGCAGATGAAATACATTTCCTCACTTCACAAGTCTTAGAAAGACTAAAAAGAAAGGTAGTTCTACAAAAAAAGAAAACTGTATGAAAGTACAACATTTGCTTTAATTTCCTTGTCAACAGTAACAGCCATTGTTACATTATGTACATTGTTTTCATATACTATTGAGTTTCATTTGTTTCTGAATGTAAATTTGATTTGTTTGTGTTCATATGTAGTATTTGTATGATAATAGCAAAAATAGAAAGGCAGAAACTTTATAATGTAAGTCAATTAGATTTATCAATACCTATCATCATATGTAAAACCTAATGGCTAAAACCTTACAATATAGTGTTACTTAATCCAATTCTACAATTTCTGTTATATTTGGGAGTGAAATAATAGATTTTGTTTGAAAATATGCAAATTATAAAGGCAGTAACATTACAAAATGAATTTAACAAAAATGTTCAGGACCTTTTATACTAAGTTGTGCATATATAGAACTTGTTCCTTTGTAGTAGCAGGTTGGTATGATACAATGTTAATTTTATAAAATTTGTTAAAAATGTCATTTCATTTTTTTCCTTGGGGATTGACAGTGATCCAGTTTTAATCATATAATTATTATTTATTGAACAATTGAATGGCAAAGGGTGTAAGTAAAAAAAAAATTCTTTCAGATATTTTTTATATCTATTTTTAATATATTGTAACATCTCTCTTATATTTTACAAATAATAATAACATAACGCCGGAAGATCACTTTATACCATTGGGATACTTCCTAAATAAATAAGAGGTTATTAAATACTAAACAAAATTATAGGAGTATTAATATATTTATTTATCTCAGGTGTGGGTTACTGACAATCAGATCCAATGACTCAGACAGTCTAACACACACTATCAACACAAAACACTGTTTGATTTTAAAATAAAGTCAAGTATTAATTGGCAAGCTAACCTTTATTCTATAGATACTGTTTCTTCCTTTGTTGCACTAAATTCATTTTTCTTCTAACATTTTCCTATGTTCTGCCAAACACATCTTCCGAAATGGTGACACTTTCTTCTACTCAACTTAATCTCCCTTGGAGATATTCTCTCTTGTAATTCCAAACAATTAGTCTCTCTGCCAAACAACAACTTTTAAGATGGTAATACTATCACTGAGTTTTTCCCACTGGAGCCAGGATCAGTTCTACTATGTTCCCTTTATTGCAGTCACACATCAACTGCTGGCCAAAACAAAAACCTTTGTTCCATCCCCTCCTTGGGATTTTCCCTTTTGGGAAAACTACAGAGCATTCACATTCTTTTCCCTGTACTAGTAGAACTAGATTAGCTTGCCTTTTAATTGTTCAACATTAATTTACTAAATCCTTTTTACTCACTTTCAATAAAGGTGTACATTACATCTCTCCCAACTTCCAGGTAAAAAAAAAATATTTCAAGTGAAACAATTTTTTTTTCTTTTTACGTTAAATGTAGGTGAATACTGAAACATCTGCACATTAATTATTCAATACAAACAAAAAAATTTTTTTTAAAGATTCCCTCTGAGTTACATCTTAACTATTTTTTGTTTTTTTAACTTATATCTTTTTCTTACAGATTCTTTTCTTAAAGATCTATTCACATGAGATATTGACACATACAACATAAATTACAGTGACATGAATACTAAAATTAAATTGAAGACCATACCATAATTTTAAATTAATTTACGCAATATATGACTACGTACTGTAATTACATAACTTGTTCATCTAATTTATGTACAAGAAAAATAAGTAAAATAGATTGATATGTAAGTAATCAAATAAGCTAAATACATTATTTACAAAAAAAATGTCAGTATAATTTCCATATCTTATATACAATAACTTAAAAAATAACTGCTTAAATTATTGACATAATATTCTAAAATATTAATAACTTTTATTATAGGAATAAACAGAGAGCACACAATTGCATTTAAAATATATAGAGAATTAGAAATAGTTATATTAATATGAGTTAAACTTCATGAAAAAGTTTTGAAAGGCTGGTGTGAAACAGACCCCTTATATTTCCATTATTTGGATTAGATATAAAAAATGAATGTTTGCCCAACTTATTTATTATTTCATAGGGTCCTTCAAAAAGTGGTAGGAGTTTGGCATTTACCACACCTGATGTAGATACTCTTAAGGCCTTTAACAGTACCTTATCTCCAATCTTAAAACATGTGAATTTTTTATCTCTATTATATTTTAATTTATTCTTATCACCAAACTTCTGAATTTTATTCTTAATTAAATTTTGTATTTGGTCATGATCTAAATTCAAACCCTCGGGGTTCTCCCCAATATATGTGTTCCAAAAACTTAAGGAGTTAATTCCAAACATACCCTCGATAGTTGTTATACCTGTAGTTGTGTGGTATGTTGAATTCATAGTGGTCTCTATCTCAGATAGTTTACTTACCTATTAATTATGTTTTCCATCAAGCAGTAGGCACAGATATTGTAATACATCTCTATTTGTTCTTTCCAAAATGTTGTTAATCGGGTGTCTGATTGAAGTTAAGACTAGAGTAATATTTAAGTCCATTAGGAAATTCTTCCACCTCGTAGTTGTGAAACAGGTGGCGTTATCACTTAAACACTTTAATGGAGTGCCGACTTCTTCAATGTAGTAAAGGATAGACTTTCGGGAACCAAACAAATTGGCTTTCCTAGTAGGATATCATTTTACAAATTCGGTAAAATTATCAATAACCACAAAGATATATTTATTTTTCTAGTCCCATCCTTCGGGTTTGGTGCCATTTTCTCATAATCTAACATATGTCTATTATAGGCCATAGGTCACCAAAAAAACACAGTTTTTTTTATATATTACATGTATGTTTATTCAACATTTCGGCTTCAGGAGCCATTTTCAAGAACCTGCAAACTAAATTTTAATTTACTTTTTACCATTCAAGTATAGCCTCAGACAATAAACTTGTATCATTCACCTACCATGCACCCGCGCCATAAAATTTTTAAAATTTGTCATTACGATATGACTCGTTCTAATTCATTCTTTTATTTTAAAGAATGTCGTTTTCCGTTTCTAAAAATTATAATATATAATTATAAATTAAAAATAGACTGCTATAATTAATTTAAAATTTTTAATTTTCGATTTATATACCTCTATTTGCAGACGGTATCAAGAAAGTATTGTTCTTCAACTACACGATAATCCTGTGGCTAATTTTGATTTTGTCGTTTTAGACCTGCAATTTTGTCTATGTTGCTGTATCGCAGCATACCACAAAAAATGGACATTAATTTGATTTCGGTACTGCTTCCGTGTTGCATAGAGAACAAAATATTGGGAAACATTGAATCTATTTTTATCACTAAAAATCTAAAACATTCAGTGAATCAACAGACAGATGTTGATAATTTAAACACGTTTTATGCTAGCACAATTGACAAAATTAATATATAACATACTGATATAAAACAGCTGATCACTAACCCCTCCACCCCACTCCTTATGTAAGTAAATCCAGTCCTGTATGAATGCCCTATTGAAGAACAATACTTTCTTGATACCGCCTGCAAATAGAGGTATATAAATCGAAAATTAAAAATTTTAAATTAATTATAGCAGTCTATTTTTAATTTATAATTATATATTATAATTTTTAGAAACGGAAAACGACATTCTTTAAAATAAAAGAATGAATTAGAACGAGTCATATCGTAATGACAAATTTTAAAAATTTTATGGCGCGGGTGCATGGTAGGTGAATGATACAAGTTTATTGTCTGAGGCTATACTTGGGTAAAAAGTAAATTAAAATTTAGTTTGCAGGTTCTTGAAAATGGCTCCTGAAGCCGAAACGTTGAATAAACATACATGTAATATATTAAAAAAACTGTGTTTTTTTGGTGACCTATGGCCTATAATAGACATATGTTAGATTATGATATATTTATTATCACATGAAGTTACAAATGGTCCTAAATAATCTACAGACACTAATTCTAACTTTCCTCCCACTAGAATATTTTGGTAAGGTGCAATCAAATATGGTCCAATTTTATTAAACTGGCAAACTTCCCAGCACTTTAATATGTTAGCAATTCATTTTCTTAATTTGTGACTGTTAAACCGTTCCCTAATTATGAAAAAACATTTATTTACCCCGGAGTGTGAGAACTTTTCATGTACTAATTTAATCAAGTTGGTCATATCTTCTTATTTAAATAAATCAAAAATTTATTTCCTAAAAGTCTGGAAATGAAGCCATCTAAAATTCTGTACTTGTTGGGTTCTTTGTCCATCATTTTTATTAGTTCTGGGGAATTTCTTTGGTTATTGATTAGTTCTTGAAAACATTTGGTTTCCTCAAGCAAATTTACTTGCAAATCAGTTCCTTTTTGCTTCGGTTCATCTATAGGATGTCTACCGAAGAAATCTGCTATTTTATTTTAAGTCCCAGGTATATGTTCGTAATTTATGTTAAGGGCCCCAAGATAGTTAATCCAATAGATCAAACGACCAGGTGGGTTCTTACATGAGTTCAAAAAAGTTATTTCTTTATTATCAGTTCTGACAGTAATTTTATATCCTGCAATTATGTTATAAAATTTTTGAATGGAATGAATAACGCCCAATAATTCCTTTTCGGTTGAGTGATAGTGTAATTCAGCTCCTTGAAAGGTTCGGCTGCAAAATTAAATAATTTTTCTGTAACCTTGATTATCTAACTGTTATAATACTGCCCCAGAAGCAAAGTCTGAACTGTCAGTATCAACATAAAACATTTTGTTAAAATTTGGGTAGTGTAAGGTAATATCATTTAACATACTTTCTTTAATGTGTTCAAATGCTTGTTGGTGTTCTTCTTTCCATTTAAAATTAGTCTTAATTGCAGTAAGTTTATG